AGTTTAACTTATGATATTGATATATTCACTAATTGTAAGTTTTAATATTAAAATTTTCAATATAATTATAAGGCACTCTAAAAATTAAAATGTAAGTTATTTAAATCATGAGTAATCTGTAGGATTGTGTATACAAATGTCAAAAAATAAGGAAATAATATAAATTCGCGATTGTCGTATTAATAATACGGTATTATATAATATATATTTTATATGATTATAGCATATATAATATATATTCTATATACTACGTATTATATTAGAATATAATATTCATTATTATAATGATGCATTGTAAGTTTATTTATGTAATTATTTTTGTAATGTTTAGCATTTGTATATATGTCCCACAAATTGTTCGTATAAATGAAAAATATATTATTACAACATTACAAAGTATTGTTAAATGTATTATATTGCAATATTGCATCGCACTATTTCTAAAGGCAAACATTTTACCGTTGCTGCAATGTTGCAACCTTGCAAAGAAATATTACTGTAACATTGCTGCAATCTTTCTGTGTTGTATAGGTTTTATTAGTACAATGGCAACATGACGAAATGTTCTAGTTTCTTGCAGATCATAAACTTAGGAAAGCAACAACTTCTCAATCTCCTGTACTTCCTTGTCCTTCTTAAGTTTATCATTCTTTGTCATTTTTAATTGAAGTTCATATGCATTTCTCATGATTCATCTGATCCTTCTTCTTTAATTTTGCTATTCGCTTCGCCCTATGTGAAATTATGTTATATAAAACATAATTTGTGAGAAGCAGACTTCCAAAATGCTTTTTATTCAAAATTTAATTTTTTGAGTTAGAGATGGCATAGTGTTCAGTGGTGAAAGATTCATATTATAAGCCACTCTACGATATTCTGAAGCATTTTTTACCATCAATTTACGTGTTGAAAAAAGTCTAAACATTCGAAGTGCACTATTTCGTTTAATTAGAGACAAACAAAATGCATTTGTTTAACATTATTAGAAATAATTTAGCAATTTTGTTTAACATTTTGCATCTTACTGATTGGCAAATTGTTATTTTCTATAAGACGCGTGGTTTCCTTGCGGCTTTCTTTTTAGTTTCTTGAAAATTATAAATTTTAGACAAAATGCATTTTAGAAGTCTGCTCCTCATTTATAAATTAATAATAATGATGTAATAATATCGAAGTAGAACTTGAGCAGTTAATGACGCAACGCAGCCTATATTGCTACCGTCGTGCTATATTTGAGGTTAAATTTTGATTGGCTGCTCTGAATTAGCATCAATAGACAATATGTACAATAAAACAACTTGTCTTCTTAGGACGAGTCCAGATTATCGATCCGAATATCGAGTCGCGAGCCGAGCCTGCGTCCACATTTAAAGATCCTACATCCACATTATCGAAATGAATATAGATTCATATTAAATATTTGAATGTGGACGCAGGCTTTAACATCGATTATGCCAGAAAACAAGGAAAGAACAAGGGCAATAGGAGTCAAGCGCGCGAGATGTTGCGCAAATAACACGACTATCGTAGCGTAAAACTTCTTTATTTTACTAAAGCGTTATTATAATAAACTAAAATAAAGAAGTTTTACGCTATGATAGTCGTGTTATTTGCGCAACGTCTCCCGCGCTTGACTCCTATTGCCCTTGTTCTTTCCTTGTTTTCTGATTTATAAGGAGTCTTAGTCAGGTTGATTTATTATACGTTATCGATTATGCCGTTGCTAGTGTCTCAAAATCACAATATATTCGATATTATCTGTACACATTTGATGTCTCTATTTTGCTTACCTCACATTCTTTTGTTTTTATAAACAGCACAGCCCTTAGTTGTTTAGTTTCGTCTAGCAACTCGCTAATCTGTAAAAACAATGTGCATTTATGAAATTACGTTTGTATTTTCAATCGCAATAATGTTCACAACAATTAAAATATTAACGAAGTTACTTTTCTTTTGTATATCATCGTTAGACGATCCTGTAACTCTTTAATCTTACGATGAAATAACATTCTGCTATGAATTTGCAGATCCAACATCGCAATTCTTCCATCTTTCGATATTGCCTTTAGTTCTAACGTTTGTATTTCTTTTTTAAATTTCTCGTAAACAGTCTCATCCTTGGTTTTGTAGGAGGACTTGTTCATAAAATCCGACGAATAATTTTGCCATGAATCATTTTCATTTTTTAACTCTCGATTCTTGTCGAGAGCTTCAATCTTCTTTTGTAGCGCACTAACTTCAGTAGAAAACGAGTAAAATTGATCGTTAAGCTTCACGTTCTCTATGCCTAAATAGTAAATAATCTCCTCCACCTTAAGCAGTTCTTTGTCGATATTCATCGATACTTTTATATTGTTATTATTCTCGATATAAATTTCGATGTCAATATTTTCCAACTTAAGTGTTTCTCAATTGAGTTTCGTCAATACCTTTTATATCACTATTAATCTCGGTATAATTTTCGATTTCTTTGTTCTTCTGATTCAACTAAACTTTCGTGGGAATATGATGTGTCACGGTCTGCACGTTTGAGTGTACGAACTACGAATGGTACCGCGGTGACTTTGGCCGTGTTTACCAGTATATATGCCAATCCATTACTAATACACTGAAAATTTATAATATACATAACATAACATATAGATTTTCAGTACTGACAACATACAGCGTTGGTTAAAAATATTAGATACCCTATTATTAAAAATTTTAGCTTAAAAATTGATTTTTGGAATCTGCTGTAAATTATCCTACGTTTCAAGAACCTTTTAAACTTATATATAATGTCGGTAACCAATAAGTAACAATATTGATAATAGAATTTCAGATAAATGAAGAAAATACAGATGGAGGTACATCAGAACACGGCCCTTGTGCAGATAACGACCCTCGTTATGCAGTCGTTATGTGTTCATTACAACAGTTGCGCAGCTTTTTAAACTATAAAATATCTGCGCAATGATGTCGTTACTGTCTTAACGAGTTATAGAATAGGGTACCTGGTGCGTTACAAATAACAATTTAACGTGTATTGGTGCCGTTACAAAGTACTTATCGCATTTTAAAATATATTTTAAAATGTGTGTATTTTATGTATTTCAAATTAATAAAAGGTTTTATAGTACATATATTACGACGGAATTATCCGATTCGCGAATCGTTTCACGTAGACGATCCGGTAATGAGAACGTTACAATTCAGTCGGCAAGAGGTATCTCAATCTGTTTGTTTTAGGCCGGTTGCACCGATTCGACTTTAAGGCTTAAAACTCTCACTTTCTCTTTTTAAAGTCGAGAAAGAGAGAGAGAACTTTTAAACCTTGCTTAAAATTATAGTAATGTTGGAGCAATCGGGCCTTAGACAGACGTGCGGCGATACTGAGTGCCGCAAAATTTGTTTTTCTAAAAAATCATTGATAATGCAGGTCTTTTCTTATAATATTATAGTTACATTTTAATATTATATTTTATTATAAATATATTTTACTTGCTTTGATTATCCAATTATCTATCCAATTACTATAACTCCTAAATAAATTTGTGACGCAGCACTCAGTGCCGCGTACGTCCACTAACGTTTGGTCGGAAGGCACGCCCTGTTAAGGGCTAAGAAAATTTAAAGAAACTATTATTACGCGTTCGGAATAATGATGAATTAGATACAATAATGAATAAAATAATTAATCTATAATTCCTATACTTTAATTCCTTCGTGAACAGGTAAATCGCACGAAAGATAATATATTACTTCAGTAAATCACATTAATTTGTTTACTCGAATTTTTAATCACGAGAAAGTAATCAGTCAAGCTGATCGTAAGGATCACGTTGGAGTATTCGTAATATCTGCCACACAAGTGTCTTGAGAAATAAGAAATATGAAAAAGAACACCATAGTTGAATTTGAAATTATAAATATATATATAGAATAACAAATATCATGTGTACAATTAGAAATCACAATGTGAGCGGCGACTAAAATTAAATTTTTATAATTACTGATTTATTTTGACCATGTAACACTTTTATATATAGGGCGTCTCGAATTTAAATAGCTAAACTTCGGACGCGTGTAAAGAATCGAGAAACTAAGAAAAAAATCCTTTGAAGATATGCTCATTTTTGTTTCATTTTGTAGAAAATCGCAAAAAAAGATAAAATGTAAATTTTGGAATATTATTGCTTTCAAAGCGAAATATTATTATTTTCGTGTACGACTTGAGCGATAATGCTTCAGAGATAGTACGAGAGTATGCGCGCCGATTTCCACACAAAAGAGTGTCGGATCGAGAGTTATAACGTTAACAAGATCAGTGTTTATCATTTAAATTCGAGACACTCTGTATATATATATATATATATACACACACACATATACAGAGTTTCCTGAAATTAGTGAATTAAAATATCAAAGCAAATAAGTTCTCAAAAAATTAAGTAAAAAAATTATTGGAAATTTTTATTTTAAACATTAATTTTTTAAATATAAAGGGTTTAAATAATCAATTACAGATTAGATGATCACTTGTGAGTGTGCTGAAGTGAGCACTCACCAAATTTCATTAACACATATGCCACGCGTGACTCATGGATGGTTAAACGTAGTCTGTAATTGGTCATATTTAAACCTTTATATCTCAAAAATTACTGCTTGAAGTAAAAAATTTACAAATAACTTTTTTACTTAATTTTTCAAGGAATCTTTTCTTGCTGTGATATTTTGATCCGCGAATTTCGAGATACCTTGTATCCTATATGCTGATTAAGTTATACTTCATTATATTACAAGAGTTATATTATGTTAAAAAATATATAAAATTAGTAAAAAATATATCATTATCATATATTACAGATGATAATGATATATTTTTTGCTAATTTTGTATGATGAATCAATGAACAAAATAAATAATGTAGCTCGCAGTCTTCTGCGTTATAAAAATATAAAACTATTATGATACAAAAATATATAACTGTTATCATTAAAATCGATAATTTGATCACTATATAACATGTTCCCGTAGATCATAAATTTAAGGAAAGCAGCAACTTATTTCTAATTTCCTGTATCTCTTCCTTGATTTCCTTTTTAAGTGGAATCGAATTATATTCCTCATGATCTGGTTGTCCTTCTTCCATTTCGTTAGTCATCTCATCCTATATAAAATTATATTATTACGTAAGACATAATTTATAAATTAATAATAATGATGTAACTATATTAAAGTGGAACTTAAACAATGTAACGATACCGAAGTGGGACTCAATAAAACAAAATTAGTCTTAAATTTGCATACTTTTTTCTTTTTACATATTTTTAAATCACAGACATTGATTGCTCATGTTCCCAGAAAATTGTCTTATTATATAATATATATATAGACTGGTATTCATAGTCCAATCTATTACAAGACCGTTTAAAGTAATGTACGTGTTTTATGGGTTTTCGGTAAATATTGTATTTAGAATAGGGGAGTCAACTCCGATGACCTTGACCTTAACATGTCGTCAATGTCATGATCCTGAGTAACTTTCGACAGATTATAATTGTCGCTCGTTATTTGTTAAAAAATTATTACCAAGACAATTTTTATAAATAGAACGTAATTTTTTAACACAAGGTAATATATTTTACTATATATTATATATGCTACATATATTCTGCTATATAATTTACGTAACGTTCTTCTTTTATGCCAAAATAGAATAAAGTAGACAGTAGACATTTCCCATCCTCCATCCCTGTTTAGGGGTATTTGACTTTAAACGCGAAGCGAGGTCCATCAAGTTTTTCAAAATTATAGCCCATTTGTATCTTTATATCACTTAATGAGATTATTAAATAAGATAATAAATAAACTTATTGTAACAACTTTTTAACACCTAAAACCTGTTGGGAGTCACTCAGGGTCATGACCTTGACAACCTATGTCAAGATTAAGGTCATCAGAGATGACCTCCTGTATTCTATAAAATATTTACCGTAGAAAGCCCATTAAGGACCTTAGCAGAAAGCTGACTTATAATCTTAAGACAGTGTCTTGTGACTTAAGTCTTATGTCTTTAATAACACAAAAATTGTCTTACGACTTATGTTTTAAAGAAAATATTTCGTATTTTTATACCTTTAAAACATAAGTTTTGCTATATTTAAGACATAAATTTTGCTATATAATAATTTGAATAAAAATGAATTTGTCCAACTAGCACTTAGAGATGGTCCAGATTAAACTCACATTAAACTCATAACAAAAGATAGCTAAATTATTGCATAATTTGATTGAAAATTATATTAAGAGTTGTATTAAATTGTCTACATAGAGAAGGTATCAATAATACTGTATAATATAATTGTATAATAATATTGATCGTTTAAAGACCGCTTAACGTCAATTGTGCCACTGCTGATGTCACAAAATCGAAATATTACTCAACATTATCTGACATATTTGATATCTCTTATTTATGATTCTCTGTTTGCATACCTCACATTCTTTCCCCTTTGTACCCAGCATAGCCATTTTTAATTGCTCAATTTCCGCTTTTAGCTTGCTAATCTGTAAGAACAATGTGCATTTATAAAAGTACGTTCGTATAATTATACTTAATGTTCATAATAACTGAAATATGATAAAATACTTTATTACTGTGTGCCTCCGACAATCGCTTCCTTTTCAAAATATGAAGGTCATTTTCGCTATGTATTAAGAATAATTGCAGCTTCAACGTCTGAATCTGTCTATTCTTCAATATCATTTCCATTCGCAACTTCCATATCTCTTTTTTCAGTGTCGAGCAAATACATTCGTTATCACACGTTATCGACTTTTCAGGGGAATCACAGGACGATATAGTCACCTTCTGGATAGACTGCAGACGATTTTGATTTTCCTTGAGAACTTTGATCTCGTTCTGTGTCTCGTCAACTTCGGCGCAATACGAATAGAACAGATTTTCAAGCTCCTCGTCCTCAGCGTCGTATTCACGAATAATGTCTGTATTCACGAACAATTCGTCCATTTCTTGATCCAGTTCGGCGACGTTTTCCGTCTATACTTTTATCTCACTAGTATAATTCTAAACGTTCCTGTACTTTTGATCCAACTGAACTTTCATCAGAGTGCCACAATCCGCTCGCTCGAGCTTCGGTTCGATGATTCGGGTGTACGAATAACAGCGTGGTGACCTTGCTATATATAAACATCGCGCGCTACGTCAAACATTCAAACAATATGCGGCGTGTGTAATTAAGGAGATTCGCCTGTTAAGTCGAAAATCAACTTTTATCGACTTTTTAGTACTGCATTTTCTTATTTATCAACCCGAGAAAAAATTCTCAGAACAAAATAAACCATTTTTATCTCTTACAATTTTTCTGTAAAGTTGATAGTATTTGAGTAAAAAATTATTGAAAACCAATTTTCGACAATTTTTAGCAATTAATATCTTGTTAAATATTGCGAAAATGCACGCAATTTTTTATTTCTTTGGAAACGTAGAATATTGAAGAACTAGAAATGTAAGAAAAGTAAAAAAAAATAATAAATACAATATATTATATAATTTCCAGTTCAAAATGAAGATACCCATCCTTTATTCTTCAAATAATTATTAAATTCAATAATTTTGGAAAGAGAAAGTTAATTAATTAATTTCATTAAATATAAATTTATTATTTAAATATAAATAATTTATGTGTCGGTAAAACTTGTTAATTAACGTTATATTAATTAATTTATTATTAATCAGCTAATTATTATCTCTGTTAAGGCTCATTAAATGTAATTCATCAAATATAATCATGTGTTTTCAATACTTTTTTATAATTTTTGGTGCATCGATATAATAATCGCCTAAATAGTAGCTTTTCGCAAATAGCGCAGTTGAGTGCGTATCTCGAGAAAGCGAATCGGATAAAAAAAGAGCTGCGGTATCGTCAGCTCGAAGAATAACGAGGTTTCCCTCGGTTGGTTAATCCGCCGCGGATTGGATCGCGCGAAAACACGTGCACTAACGCGATTTTCGGCGGGCTCTCGCCCTCCGCCCTCTCGGCCTCTCGTTGCCGGAAGTAGCGGAACCGTGGCGGCGTCGGTGACACTCGGATCGTGCATCGTTTCACTTTCGATAGAAAAAATGCGAACCGCGTAGAGCTGTTGCAACCAACATTTTGGGACAGCGAATCTGATGCCATCCGGAATCCGCGGTTCTCTTCAACTCAATTTAGTTTTCGAGATCTACAATATGTCGCAATATTCAATTCAGAGCCTTTTATAGAATTAACGATATAATTGACGTGTATTAATCCTATAAAGTTCTATAACACAATTTTAAAAAATCTAACGCAGTTAGGTATGTACATACTAGTACTGATTGTTTATGAGATCCATTTAATATATACAGCGAGTGCACAAGATATTCATACGAGAAAATGTTCTAAAAAGAACCTTATTTTTAAAAAGTAAACATTAGCTAGCAATTAACAAAAAAATAAAACAGATTGTGTATTTCTTAAATTTTATTTTCATTTTATCTAAAAAGATGTGTAACAATTAAAAGACATTATCTTAAAATTAAGCCAAAGTGAAAAATTGTATAATTACTCGAACGCACAAAAAATACTCGAGAAAGTTTTTAGCTTAAAGATCATAAACCCATGAAACTATTTTGTTTATATTAGGACAAAACATACTCATTATTAATAAATTGCTAATTAATATTTATTTTCTACAAATAAGGCCTTTTTATAAAAATTTCCCCGTACAAATACTTTTTGTATTTACTATACATTAATTAAAAGGCATTAATTAATTTCAAAGGAACAAAATAACACAACTCATACAAAAAAAATAAATACTAAGTTTATTTTAATAAAAATACTTTAAAGCAGATATGAAACATAAAGAAAATTAAATTGTCTGAGGTTTTTGTGTAAAATGGCAATTGTTACAACAATAGATACAAGACTCCTATGGCCTTGTTTATATTATTTTAGTTGCGAATAGATATAAGAATTAAGATAATAATAATTAATTAATCACAAATTCAAATATAATTATGTATTTCTTAACATTATTTTACAGTGACAACTATTATTTTTACTCATAAAAATCTTTATTATCTGAACAATGACTGTATAGTGAGTTCAATAACGTACCTACGTCAGCTTCGGAGAGTTAGTAACAAATCGAATGTTTTGTTTCGTTAGCAATTTCCGAGTCTACATTATAATTTAATGTAAATTTAGATTTAAATTTAAATTTATATTATTTAATAAAATATATAGCTATTATTTATTGTTTGTACATCATAATATATAGTCTGCGTGATTCATGATGAATAGATTATCCGTTTTATAGTGTTATAATAGCGTATGTGGCTCTTGTATGCAAACGAGTAGAACGATTCTACGCTTATTGTTAGTATTGCATTACGAGTGCGACGGATCGTCAACGGCAACCGGAAATATTTACAGGACACCCCTCAAGCACGGGCACTGCCCTATCATTATCGGCCGCTTTGTCTGATTTATTGAAAGCGATCCAGCACGTGCCAAATGATCATTACGCCCCGGTCATTAAGGACCAGCACATGCTCATGTTTATATCGTAACGCATTTCCGCGTCTCTTTCGTAACTTTAAGAGGCAATGCTTAAAACGTTTATCGTATAGAGTACGAATTTCAAAACCAAATTTCTTTTAAACCGCGTTTTTGAGATTTCGACAGTATCATTGCGACGCTTCCTATAAAATTAAAGCCTTTTTCCGCCAAAATAGCACAAAAGAGTCTAAAAAGTTAGATTTTTCAGAACAAGAAACTTCTCATCTTCGAACTATTTATTGTATAAACATGATAATTTTTCTCCGAAATATAATAAGTATAAAACAATGTTAGGATTTGATTAATATTTCGAAGGACGATTTTAAAAAAAGAAACCTCTGGATTTATTTTGTTATTGCGGAAATTTTATATTTACTATCTATTTATCCTATAATATTTTACATTTATCCTTTTACAATATTTAAGTATAATGATGAAGGTGAAGAAGGAGATTACTATTATTATCTATTTAATTACTATTTAAAGAAAGCAATCATTTATTTTCACTTTTTATTTGCAAAATTTACAAATTGTTCTTAATAAAAACATTTTTCGCAAATGTTAAACTTTTATATTTTCTATTTTCTATTTGTGACACTTGTCGGATCAAAATTGTTCACAATATGACGCTATTGACAGATTTGAAGCCATAACTTAGATTTGCATTTATATATTCGATTTTTCTGGGAAGTCATCAATTACAATGACTTTTTTTCCGGTCGAATAAGTGATTTTGATTTTAGATAGATCCGTCCGAAGCTCGGCACGAGCAACCCAAAATTCCTCTATCGACTGGTGCGGGTCCACGTATATGTACCGACGAATGGCCTGTGCCAGCTGATGAGGCGGAAGGCACGTAAAGAGATAAAGCAGCGAAACGGAGGGACGAGACACACACAGAGGAATGCCTGTGATGGGAGGAGTGAAGCGAGCAGGAGGACGATAAGAAACGCGCGGGTGGAAGAAGGGACGCAAACGGGACGGGGAAAGAGAGAAATCAACTTTTATTTGCCCGGAACGTCGTTAGGGGTAAGTGGAGGACCGAAGGGTGGCCGGACGTAATGGCGCCCCTCAACCCAACCTCGGCTCTTGCCTTCCGGTATCCGTAGCGTGTCTATCGTGCCTCTTCATCCCGCGTACTCCCCATCATCCCACTTTCCCCCTTTTTATCTCTCGATCTGAGAAGCTCTCCCGCGTGTCTCTGTCCGCCTATCTATTGGCGAGTGTTCGCTCGTTATCAAATTGGCGATGTCTCGACTGGGAGTTTCGCCGGAAGTGAAGTATCACCGGACTTCGACATGGATGAAATTGTTAAATAAAAAAAGATTTGCTATAAATTTTGAATATCCTGCCAAATAATATAGTGTTAAATATTAGAGGATCAAATTTAAATGAATTCTTTGAATTAAATTACATTTTGTTATTTTTAACTATCAAGTGTGTCAAAAACTATTATTTTAATACAAAACATAACCACATTTAATCTATTTCTGTGGATGAATTGTTTAATTTTAAAGGAAACAACGTTTATATTAACGTATGCACTTAATAAATAATAAAATAAATTAGAGTCAAATTTAATATATTTCTTAAGTTGAATTGTTTAATTTCTTTTAATTAATTGTTTTAATTAAATTAACGATATATACCGAGTAGGAACAGTGGTGATCTATATAGGAATGATTAAAAATAATCAAATTAATAATATAATTTCTCAGTATAAAACATTAATTAACAGTAACATTAAATTAATGTTACTTTTCAACCCTAGTAAACACTGAATAAACAAATGTCATTAATGTCGTTATTAAAAAAAATTTTCATTAACGTCGTTATTAATATTATAATTTCTTATTTAAGAATGTAGCTGTTATATATGACATGTTATATTATATTTATATTATTGAGTGGGAAATTATAATATTAGTGTAATGTTATTGTTAGTGTTTATCGGGGTTGAAAAGAAACATCGTTAGCGTTATCATTTTTTCAACAATAGTTACTTTTTTCTGTCTATAATAGTAATGTCGTTATATTTTTACAGTAATAGTAACAAACTCAGCCGTTATTTTTATAGTTATTTTAATATATTTACATATATTTCCTATTATCTTTATACCTATTCAATAATTAGATGGAAATATACTGTTTAAATAAAATTTAAAAATATTGAAAAATATTTTAAATATAATTTGTATCTCAGAGAGAGACTTAATATCTTTATATTTTAGATTGAATTCCGATAAACGCTGTTAATAGATACCTAAAATCTGTACTGTACGTATATGTGATACGAACTATAAATTTTCAGTACTAGCTGGCAATGAATATTGGAATGTACTCTTTATAATGACATTAATGTTAGAAAATAATCTGTAATAAAGCTTTTTATATGATATAAGAATATTATTATAAAAAATTT